TTAATCATAAAGCACCAGTAGGTATCATACCACCTAATGGAAATTGTTATGCATTGCTTTTTCCTGCAGCAGCTTTGAGTGAGGGTGTCCATGGGGTATGTGATGTGTGCCTCTTAGATTCCCAGATAAAGGATAAGCCAGAGATCTTATCTTCAAGTGCCTACATGAGCCAGGCAAGTGATAGAAATGAGGGAAATGGGCAGATATAATAAAATAAGAAATAGTGGGGACTATGGCCCACTGGAGGGCACAACTTGTGTTTAAAATATGATGGGGGCATGGGGTGTGCTCAGAGCAGGGAACCTGAAGAAATGGCCCCTCTGTTTATAACACACCCAACAGGAATCTGGGTTTGCTGTGACAAGGGGCACAAAACGTGTGGCCTTCCTATGAACAGACACCCTACATGTGTCCCAACCTGCATCTCCACATGGCTTCTGGATAGGACCAGCAGCCTAAGGCTTTGTAGGCCTCAATCCTGGAGGCGGAAGCCCAGGGAGTGAGCGTGGGAGCGAGACATGGGCTGGAGGGTCAGAACAGCCCCCCACCCCCACCCCGCAGGAACTGAGCTGCAGCACTGGGCCTGGGAAGGCGCCACCTGGGAGCCACTGGTACAACAGGTTTTCCTGGCTGGACGCAAACGTTTATCATCCTTCCGCACTGAGGTACCTGGAATACAAGAAGATCCCCAATAGCAGCCCAGCAGAATATGAATTCCTCTGGGGTCTGAGAGCCTTCCACAAGACCAGCAAGGTGGGTGTGCTGAGATTCATCACCCAGCATCAGAACCGAGACCCCGGGAAGGGAAAGCTCATTTCTTGGAGGCTGTGGATGATGCGTTCGACGATGGATGTGGATATGGCTGAGGAACATGCCAGGGCCCAGATGAGGGCCCAGATGGACATCGGGGATGAAGCGCTGATTGGACGGTGGAGCTGGGATGACACACAGGTGGAGCTTCTGACGTGGTATGAGGATGGAGATTTTAGCAATCGCTGGGCCAGGGTTCCCTTGGCTTTCTGGGCTAGATACCATCAGTACATTCTGAATGGCAACCGTGCCAACTGGAGAGGCACCAGGAGAGCTGGCATCAGCCGTGGCTCCAGTGGGGGGGCCAGCACCACATTCTTGATGGGCCCAGCACCAGCTCCATCATCCCCGCCAGAAATGCCACCAGAGCAAGTGCCAACTTCTCCCAGATCCAACAGTGGTGATGACCTGCAGCAGTCACTCACCAAGCCAGAGTGCCTCCTCAGACTCCTTATAACACAGCACTAGGGGCACCTTCTACCTGCCTATCCAAGGAGGCACGCAAGAGGAAGCTGTCTTCGCCCTTCCTGCTTTCGTTGTGTGCTTTTGTCCTGTTGTCATGTTCTTGGTATCAGTGTTACATTAAAGTTGCAAACCTAAGAAAACAAATAAATAAATAAAATAAAATAAAATATGGGAGCTAAACACACCGTATCTGCAATCCAAATACACTTACGGCATAAGCTTCTTAACAAACATAATTGTTTCTAGAACATCTCTGCCATATGCAAAATAATAAAGGAAGAAAGAAGAAAAATAGTAATTGCTAAAATGTAATCGAGTACCTACAAAGTGCTTAGAACTGTTCTAAATTTCATCTGGTTTAATTTTATGTCATTAATATAATTACTTCTGTTTTACAAATGAAGAAATTAATTCACAATACTTAGTAAGTGTATATTGGCTGCTCTATTAATAAATAATTGGATGTTAAGAAATAAAAACTAGCACAGAAAAAAACAACGTATCAGGGCCCTGAGCCAAACCCCTAACCCAGATGAAGGAAGCACCCTCCAGAAGAGCTTCCATCAGAGAATGGCTCTCAGCTCCTCTTCCGACATCTCCAGGTAGGAGGATGAAGGTCATTCCCCGAGCCCATCAGTAGCTCACTCTCCGCAATGTAACTGAGACCTCGGCATTTCTGATAGAGTCAACACAGAACAGCTCTGTGCCATCTGCAAGGCCCGTCTCCCTTGCTTCGCAGTCAACAAACAAAACAGACTCCTTCTCCTGTGTGTGGATATAACGCTAACAATTATGAGCAGCCGTCGCTTATTAAGTGCTAACTCTGTGCTTAGTATTATTGACATTGTAGCATCTCCTCTCATTCTCACAAGGATCTCATGAAGTCAGTACTGTTCTTGTGCCCATTTTACAGATAAGGACATTAAAGCTCATGGAGGTAAATTAACTTCTCCCAGATCACACAACCAACAAGTGCCAGAACTGGGATATGAATTCCAGCAGGCTCATCTGCAGAGCTCATGATCTTGTGACCGTGCAAAGAAGACTGAGAAGCAAAATGCATTGAGTTTTTGTGTATGTTTGTCAACCAGTTTCTTAAAACATGAAATCCTCTTTTCACACACAGTCTTGGCACTAAACTTCAAATTATTATGTCCTAGAAAAGAGCAGATGGTTTCTATTCTGGTTGAGGGTGGAGAGTGAAGGGCCAACCACTGCCTCCACTATATTCTCTCTCACCTTGATTTCCTCTAGCATCACTGCTGGTCATCTTTATTCTTGTCTGACGCCCCTCCTCCTGCCCCCCGTTTTTCCCTGTTGCAGGCTCTGCTTTGCTCTCATTCGTCTGGGCGGACCAGAGATTCAACACTCAGTCCTCCAGGTACTCCCTTCTCTACCTGCCCTCCAAGAGCGCTCGACACACAGATCATCCACTGCCATTGTGTTAATGACCTTCATGTGCTTGTCTCCAGGCCCATATCCCTAGTGGCCTGTAGGACATGTGGGGTGAACATTTTCCCCCAAGAACCAAGATGGATTTAACTCTGAGAGAACTGACTGGGCATTGTGTGCAGAGGTGTCAGAGGATGGTTATTTAAAACTGCACGGAGGATGTGTCCGCCTCAGAGATGGCTCCCGTTATTTTTAGGTAACTGGTGAGGAGGACCGCCCCCTCCCAGACCCCACAGCCTGCCCTTCTCCCCACCACACTCCCTTCCACGTGCCTGATTGAGGGTGTTCACCCGTGCAGAGGGTGTTCAATCAACACGTGCTCCATGGGCAGGTGGTCTGCACAGTTTAGAAACATGAGCTCCTTTTTCCTCAACAGGTCTGATCCTAGCTGAGAGACAACAGGTACAGTGATTGAGAAAGAATTCTGAAGTCAGACAGACCTGGCTTCAAATCTTCCTCAACTACTTGTGTGATCTCTCAGCTCGGTTTTCTCATCTGCAAAATTGGGACAATAATATTAGTTCTTGCTCATTGTTTCGTTGGGAGGATTAAAAATGTGGTCAATTACATAACACATTGAGGACAGGGCCTGGCCTGTAATCAGGCTAAGTGCCTGGTCATCTTTAGGATTATTTTGTATCCCTTTGCTTTTGAGGTTGTTGGTGAGCTCTGTAGCCCCAAGAATTACTAAAGCAAGGCCACATTTCCTACTTCTCCAGGCTGTGGACTTTTTTTTAAAGCATAGTACATAACTAAAGAAAAAGAAGGAGATAAAAGGGAAGAGACTTTCCACAAATGGAGTATATACAACTGCTCATCAGGCATCATGAGAGTTGCTTTATCTTTTTAATGTCTTGTAACTTCACACAGTCCAGATGGGGAATGAAAGTTGGATTTTATTGCTCCCACATTCCAGTGTTTCTCAAAGAGCATACTCCGGACCAATGAGTATTAGAATTTCCTGACCAGGGACCCAGTCTATAGCCTCGGAATTTCTGGAGTTAAGTCCAGAGCATCTGTCTCCCCAATGAATATCATCAAAATGTGAGGACCTTTGACTTAGTACTTGTATCATATCTAAGACTTGATCCTGTATTTTCTTGTATTTTTACATGTAAGCATGTCATTTCTTCCCTAATTAGATACATTCTTCAAGGTGGGAAGAGTTCTTGTAACCCCAACTGTGTACAGCTAGAGTTTTCTAAAGTTCTTGTAACTCCAACAGTGTCCAAGCCTGAACATGGCATTGGGAATTCATGAAAACGTTTGGCTAGGTTTAGCTTTCTGCCCTGCAGGGTCAATGCCTTAAGACTGAGAGAGACCTTGGGGCCCTGGGTGGCTCAGTCATTAAGCAACTGCCTTTGGCTCAGGTCATGATCCCAGGATCCTGGGATGGAGCCCCACATCAGGCTCCCTGCTCGGTGGGAAGCCTGCTTCTCCCTCTCCCACTCCCCCTGCTTGTGTTCCTTCTCTTGCTCTCTCTCTCTGTCAAAAAATAAATAAAATCTTTAAAAAAAAAAAAAAAGATTGGTAGAGACCTTGAGTTAGAATGGCAGTTCACCAATACCCAGTATTACTACTATACAATGTTGAGTTTTTAATCTATGCTTTCTCATTGTCGGTTGGGTGTGCTTTTACTGATTGATACACTGAAATTCCTGACTTCCTGACCAGGGAGCAAAATTGACTCCTGACTTCCTGACCAGGGAGCAAAATTGACAAGTCTCTGAAAAGTAAAGTCCCTTCCAGGTTTCAGAGTGTTTGTAAAACAGAAACTCACAGGTCTTCCCGTCTTATCACAGAAAGCTGGGCCCCTCCTGACCAAAATGGTTATTCAACTTTTGAACATATGCCTTAAAACATAATTTTCGTTGCAGGATCAGCAATGATCTGTGTTAGCTTTAAGGAAAAGGAAGAACTTGTTACTTTATGATGTGTTTGTTCCTGAGCAATTGAGAGGTTTGCCATACGTTTTTATGGCCGTTTTCTTTGAGGTTCCATAAACGCCTTCTGGAATGTGGAGGTTCCACCATCAGAGTCATATGGGAGCTTTTCTAGTGCCCTAATGTCATTAACCCAGCTGCTTTGTTTGCTGTAATACGCATTGATTTCTTCTACATTTGAAAGGCAGTTCTCTGATCTCCAACCCATTTAACCATGTTTGATCTCAACAAGATGAAAAATGTTTGGAATCTAAGCTTATGATCTTTGTGCTACATTTTTCTTCTTTTAATTACAGTAGCTTCCCCCTCTTACTCCCTTCTCTCCTTTAGGATCAACACTCTGTGGTAGGCCAGAACACAGGCCCCAGTCCAAGTCCCAACTCCTGCTCAAATCCAAACACCGGAAGTGGGTACGTGAACTCCCAGCCATCACTGTTGAATCAGCAATTGATGGGAAAGAAACAGACTCTACAGAGGCAGATCATGGAGCAGAAACAGCAGCTTCTCCTCCAGCAGCAGATGCTGGTTGATGCGGTAAAACTTTCTCCTAATTTCTACTACACGTACCTATTAGCCTAACAGAGAGAATTAATTATTTTCCCTTTCTGGTCACTGCCTTTTTCTCTGTGCCTGCTTAGGTGAGAGCAACAAGAGTATCCTGGCTATAAGAGAAGCTAATTCTATACCTGAGTTAAAGTGCTGCAGGGAAAAAAAAAAAAACACTTGATTTACCAGCTGGTGGACAGTTGGAATGCATGGCACCCCACCTAACTAGCCCTGCCCAGCCCAGGAATGTTAAGAACCACCAGCATGGGTGTTTGAATCAGGCAAAAGGAGCCATTTTGGGGCTATAGCCCCGAGGAGCAGAAATCGTGGACAGAACTTTAATCGACTTGAATTCAAACTGATTTTAGAGATAAAAGGAGTTTCCAAAACAGTTGTAAAAGCCAGCATGGGGTTTCAAAACTGAAAATTTGACTTCCAAAATAAAGCATCTCAGAAGGGGGGATGTTTTTAACGAAAACTGAGGATATATTTCCAACTTTCACCATAGTTAACTGGCCTTAAAGAAAGGCAAGATGGTTATTTCCCCAGCAGGACCCGAGCATTAGCGCTTCTTCACTGTTATCTGCTCTCCCTTCCGCGTCCTCAGACATACACTCAGGCACAGGTTCAAACCCCCCTGCCTCCGAACACCAAGCCCCATCTCCAAGTTTCATTCTCTCCCTTTAGACAGTTTGGCCAAATGAAAGAAAAAAGGGGCAAAGTTAACCATCTCCAAGTTGATAGAGTCAAGGTACACAGAGATGTGAAAAACAAAACAAAACAAAAAATGTTTATACTCAAGGAGCTTTGTAGTAAAAGTCAGAAATCTAGGATGTGGTAAGTACTATCATTCATTCGGTAAATATTAGTGAATTTACGCTGAGAAAATGGCTATAAATAAGATAGACCGTGTCTTTGTCCTTAAGGAGCTTAGAGCCCACGGGGATGTGAAATACAGGTGATTGGAAGGCAGGTGATTGATTAAATGCTGTGATGTAGTGAGTACTGGAAATGGTTTCAGAGAGGAAGTTATGTCTACTGAAGATCTGAAGGTGAAGTAGGTGATGGGAGAAAGAGGAGGGGAGTGTTCAGGCCAGAAGAACCAGTATATTCAAAGACTCAGAGACAATAACATATAATGATGTAGTAGATGGAAGTAGAGGTTAAGGAAGTAATAGGCAAGGAGACCAGAGATGAGAGGCCCTAGGGTAGAGCTTGATAAATTCACACTGTCTGAAAAGCAAGGGAGAGGACTTTAAGGATTTGAAACAAGGAAGCGCTAAACTCAAGATTTGCATTACAATAAAGGTATGAACAGAGGAAGAGAAAAGGTAATGGAGGAAAGATAACATCCATCCTGGAGAGATTAAAGAAAGTCTCCTAGAAGAGGTAAAATTTGACTTTGACTTTGACCTTGAAGACTGTTGGATTCTGATGGATAGACTAGGTGAGGAGGGGCCAACAAAAGGTACAGCCCAGGTGTATATTTGTTGATGGGCTTGAGACTATATTCTAAAATATTTAATACAAGATGAAAAGTGTAAATAGGAACATAATCATTATTTTTGAGGAATGACAAACAGAATAAGTTTGGAGTCGAGAGCAGGAGAGAAGATACAGTGAGGGATGAATAAGGAATAGTGAGTAATAAATGTGCAGGTGACCTTGAGTACTGCCCTAAGGTATCAGGTATAGGGGTGTCACGGACTCGATCACAAAGCAACACAACCAATTTCTTCTACAAATCTTCTGTAAGTTTTGGAAACTCCAGCTGTCCCACCAACTCCCTCCCTTTTTTTGATCTTCATCAACTAAATAGCTCAGAAACAAGGGCGCTAGGAGAGAAAAACATGCAGTCTCCGACTGACTCTCATTATTCCCATCAGTACTTCTAATGTGTTGAATTATAACATGCAGAGGTCGAATTTCTGGATTTTCAGCTCTGATTAAAAGGCAAGGAAACGTGCCCCAAGGGTCGTGTCCTGGCGCTGGCTGGACTCTCACTGGGCCCCAGTTGAGTCACCCCTGGGACAGTTGCAAAGGGCAGTGGCATAAGCTGTGAGCGATGAATGAGAAATGGGACTGCTGTTTTGTGCTTTTTACAAAGCACTCGCATTGGTCTTTGTTTGGACGCCATTGAGTGTGCCTGTGCTTTTTAGCATATCCAGGAAGAAACAGTCTTTGATCTGGCTTTACATTATCATATGCTAATGTAGTCATTTCCAATCAGTTGGCAAGGCCAGAAAGGCGCCTAAATTGAGACATTTTCTCATGAAAGTGCGTTATCCTTACTCCCCGTTATTCTCCCACCAATGAAGCCCAAAGAGGAAAGGCGAGTCATGCGTAACACGGTGGGCGTCATGATAACCAACACATTTCGTGCACCTTCTGTGTGCCAGGTGCCACGCCAAGCTTTCATAGAGGTAAAGGACTGGTCCTTACAATCGGAGTTATGAGGGAGGTCCTAGAATTATCTACATTGCACATTTTGAGATGGCAAAACTGAAGCAGGACCGGTAAACGCAACAGAGATTATTTCTATAGTAGGTTTTCAGGTTATTGGGTTGAATTATTGGGTCCGAGATGAGACTTTAGTTGAGAAGTTCAATTTCCTGTAGTCTCAGGGATGGCCTGTGAGTTTACGCTTACACAGAAGGGGACTGTCATCCTCTTGCATGGAATGGGAATGGGAGCGGCCCGCATTCCCTGTCACAATCGGGTCTTTGCTACTTCTCAGCGTGAAGTGACAACAGGGCCTCTCCATGATAGTCCGTATACCAGGCCATTAAATCTAACTCATGTGCAAGCAAGTAGTTCAAGAAACTCAGGTGTCCAGAGATGTGTTGTTAACCCTTGGAGCAACCTAATTTAGCCCTCAGGGAAATAAAAGGTCAGTAAGTAGATTGAATATACATAAAAATAAGTTCAGATTTGAGATCTAGTCTTTAGTGGGGAACCAAGAGCCCGATCCTCTCTTCTCTGTTTCTCTCTCTCTCTGTCTCTCTCCATCTCTCTCTCTCTCTCTCTACACACACACATACACACACCCATGCACAAATCCTGTTTTCTTCAGTATAAACAGCAGAAACACCTACTTACATAAGAAAAAATGATAGATGCTTTTGAAAAAGAGAAGAATTCAGAAAGTCCCATGCTTGGCAAAAAAATCAAAACTGTCAGCTTGCACAATAGTTTACAACAGGCATGGTTGAACATCACCACATTTGGGTTCATGGAACATCTCAAGCTGTTTCTTAAACATTTAGGGTTTGGGCAAAACCATAAAGACTTTCACCAACCACTTTTTTCCTTAATTTGTAAACCCATATTTAAAAGAAGTGTAATCCATATGTTTCTGATTCATTTACACTTAGCTCATCAAAATTGTGTTTCATACGAATTACTTGATGCCCCAAAACCCCTGTGAGTCTTTCAAGTTTTTTTCTTAGAAACAAGAATTTGAACTTGGTTTGTTGTTGTGTTAAGGCCCTTTTTTCTTCCTTTGTAGTAGATTTGTTCTACTCTGAAAGTTTGGAATTTGATGGGAAACTGAGAAAATACATGGTTCAAATGGGATCTAAGTTGGCCAGTGCACATTTGGCCTCCATCTAATTTATCCATCTATCTTTACACGGTTTTCTTTTCCATTTATTGACTTTTCTATAATTATATTGTTTTCTGTCTACCTATGCCAGTTATGTTTATCTTTGAAAATGGAGGTTGCTTTGGGGTGCATACAAAGTTGCAGTAAAGCAATTCTAAAAACTTCCTGATCCACGTTGAGAAAAAAAAAAAAAAAAAAAAGCAGTCCCTGATTGTCCAGATTGACATGACACTTGCAGCCAGGCCATTTTGGTTTTTGTCAGATGAACGAATACCAACCTCAGGTGGGATTACTCTGAGACCATGATAAAATGAGACAAAATAAGGCCACTTCATAATTTTATCTAAATACAGACACAAGGTCACTCTGTAACCCACAAAATACCAACCCCTCCTTTTGCTAAATGAGCAATGGCTACTTCTTTACTCAATAATGGAATCAACCTCACTTTGACAGCTTACAACCTAGAACAAATCATTGCTTCCTTAGACCCTCCCTAAATCATCCAATTGACGCCCAAATCCTAGGATAGGTTCTTTCTAACACTCTAGTACTGAGACACCCCATTGTCCCCCATGCTGCAATGAGTCATAAACCCAGCAGGTGTGTTCCTGGTAGTCTTTGGCTAAAGGCGTTGACAATATAAAAAGAATGTACCCATTTCCTCTCTTAGCTACCAAACTGACCTCCTCTAGAGATCTAAAGGTGGCTGATTCCAGAAGGAAGAAAAGAAGGGGGCCTGGGAGACTTCTGTGCTTTGAGAATGGGGCACAGAGAAACAGAGAAGCAAGTATTGTATTGTGTGGCAGGGAAAGGGCCAGAGTCTTTGACTCAGGATTCGATTTCTGTTCTACTGCTCTGATCTTTGGCAAGTTACTTGGCCTAAGGAAGCTTCCATTTCTTCATCTATTAAGTGGGAATAATCACACCTATTTCAAGCGTTATTTTAGAGGGGGGAAAATGAGGTAATATGTAATAAGGCCCCTACCAATACCTGATAGGATATCTCCTGGCATCTCCTCTTATCTGGGGTTGCCAGACTTAACAAATAAAAATATAGAGTTTCCAAGTGTCCTGTATTTTCTCTGGTAACCCTACTCCTATGCCTTCCACACTCCATGGGACCAGAATTAAATAATAGGTACTGAAGCATATCAGGTGTGCTACAAAATAAAACTAGAAACACCATCTCAAAAATCACAGGAATTTAGCTCTCACTGAAATCTAATTGCAAAATAAAGAAAATGAGATTAATTGCTAGACCCAAAACACACATTGAGTGTTGAGGAGAGGTAGAAATTATACTTCCACGCAGGAGATTTATTGAAATTGAAAAGACCAGTTTCTGAAGTAACACTAGTATATAAGGTGTATGATTTGCAACAATGGCTGCAAAATTTTTCTTGCAGTCTTACTTTTTTGAATGACAGTCTATAAATGTTTACAAGTGGGAAAGTAAGCATGCAACTTAACGTGATTTCATTTGTATATTCAAGGAGAAGATTGCTCCGCAGGATCAGATAAATAGACATTTGACAAGGCCACCGCCAGATTACAAAGACCAAAGAAGAAACACGGGCAATATACAGCCAACTGCTGCTCAGTATTCTGGTGAGTAGTCTTAAAAATCAGTTAAAAACGGGGCGCCTGGGTGGCTCAGTCGGTTAAGCGTCTGCCTTCGGCTCAGGTCATGATCCCGGAGTCCCGGGATCGAGCCCCGCATCGGGCTCCCTGCTCGGCGGGGAGTCTGCTTCTCCCTCTGCCTCTGGTTCTCCCTCTCCTTCTCCCTCTGCTCCTCGCCCCCGCTCATGCCCTCTCTCTCTCTTGCTGTCTCTCTTTCTAATAAATAAATAAAATTTTTAAAAAATCAGTAAAAATCCTAACTGTAGAAGAAAAAAACTGTTCCGTTTTTAACATTTCCTCCTCTCCCCACCTCATAGGGAAATGTAGCATCTTTCTTAGGATCCTGCACTAGCTCCCATTTAACTTGCAGATCAAGACCAAATTTGAGTGGTGTTTAGTCTTTTCATCATTTCTTGCCAATTCTTGTCCTCTATTCACGTATTTCACCACCCTCCGAAGTACCTCTGAGGGTTCAAGAGAGCTTCAATATTTTCTAACTCCTCGGTTCCACCATTCTCCTCCCAGCAAGGTACCCTGACCCAGATCATGTAAGGTAAGCAGACATCCTTCCCTCTTGGCGCTTGCATAAAGCCCGATCCTCTTGTCTCCACTTGTCCTCAGTGTGGCTGAAAGACACGATGGAGGTTCATTTGGAACATGGCTTCTTACACCATGGCCTATCAGTGGGTTCAGGGGAAGCTAGGAGCCTTGGAAATATTATACAAAATTCAAGGTGGATGTTTGGGCTTTTCTTTTCCCATTCATATACAAGAGTCTCAAGGATTGCAGTCTCAGGCTGATTAGGTGGCTGTGCAGTGTTGTCAGGGGTCAAGGCTTCTTCCGTCTTCCTACTCCACCGTCTTTCACATGGAGCTTCCACCCTAACGGCTGCCTTGTGGGCCACCACACCACCATCCTTCATCGTATTCCAGGTAGAAGGATGAAAAAAAGGAAGAGGTAAAATGCCCTCCCAAATGAATCAGATTCTCTTTTTAAAAGAGGTTTCTTGAGGGGCACCTGGGTGGTTTAAAGATTTAAATAAAATCTTTAAAAAAAATAAAATAGGTTTCTTGTAACTTCTACTTCTAGCCAAAATTTACCTAGTAACTTCTGCTTCTAGCGAAAATTTATTCATCTGGACCCCTCCATCACCGAGGAAGTTTGGGAAATGTGGTTTTTCAGCTTGGCACATTGCTGCAAAATCAAGGGTCTGTTTCTAAGGGAGACAGGGAGGTTGGATGCTTGGTAGGCACCTGCGAGTTCCTTTCACAGTGCACATGGGCTTCTTCCTAAGGGAGGGATCCTTGGCATCCAACTGCTGACCCCCAAGTGGATAAGAATCAATACTCTATAGAGTATTGTACTTCCCATGTCTTCTGAGAATGAAATAACCAACAAGCACAACACAAACTCTTTTATCATTTTTTACTTTAATCTCAGTGCAGTAATAATCACCTTGCCCAAATTGTTAATATTAGAAATGATGTATGAAAAGTACATGGAACAATTTTTACCACATATTCGGGACTTCTAAATATTAACTGTGATTACTATTTTGTGACCTTTATGGAAATTCTCTCTATTGTGGTTGTTTAAAACTATTGTTCTCCTCTTAAAAACCTTCTCAGGGCATATTGTCAAAATAGAGGGCACCTAGAGGGAATGATTTTTAAAACCTCTAAATTTTTTCTCATAGCACTTTCATAGTGTCCATGCCCTTCCCGTGAAATCCTTAGATACCAAGATGCTGTTGCTTACCCTCATTGGCTGTCTGTCAACTCTTTACTGTTCCAGCACCTCATACCCGACTCTGATCCCTCTTTATCAAACTCTTCCTGCCCTCCCAGTGCAGGGCTTGTCTGGACATACAGGGAGATACAAGAGACTGTTTCTGCCTTCAATGGGTCTATAGTCTAATGGGAGACATTTTAAAACAAATAGCAAGGACTTGAGCCCTTCAGGCTGTGTGCCATGCTAGCTATCCCCAAACAGTTCTGAGGTTCCCTAGAGCTACAACCACAGCCATGTTCTTCTCCTACAGTAATGTTCTGATATTTCTGTGTGTGTCTAATTCTTCTTCCTTAGCATTTCTGATTCTCTGGGCATCCCTGCATCTGGGCAGGGAGAGTACTTTAAAAGAGTATCTTTCTCCAAGTTACATATTTGCTTCAATCTCTCATTTACTCATTCATTCATTCAATATAAATCAAATACCTACTTTGCACCATCCACTAGACTTTTCTCTAGGACAGTGAACCAAACAGGCAAAAATGCTTTCCCCCATGGAACTTAATCATCCACCAGACACTTACTTTTTATCTTTCTGACATTCCATTTTTGCTTCTCAAGATGTCTTCCCATGATGACTTTCACCTCCCCGAGTCAGGAAGATTTTAACATGTTGACTAATCACTATCTGATATGTGATACGCCTCCCTATCCGGCAGCCTATGATTCATGGTTCCACTTTGAGGTTCCGTGGATTTCCCAATACAGAAGCTTTAAGTGCTAATGAAAACTTCAAAGAGCAAATCCTGCTGGAAAGAGCAGGCTGGAGTATCAGGCGAAGCTCAGTGAAGGAGCTTAGACTTTGGCCTGAGCTTTGAAGGAAAAGTAGGGTTCGGGGAGTTAAGAAGGGCATCATATGAGAGGGACATAACATGAGCACAGGTGGCTCATGGTATGTGGATAACAATGCAATAGTAACCATACCTCCTGGAGCAGAGGGCTTTCTACATGGAAATCATCACTGGAGCATGGACACCTTGAATTCCAGATGTTTAAAGAGATGGGAATTTTCCCTTTGGACGCTTGGGGGCCACTCATGGAAGCTTCTTGATGGGGATGATGCGGATGAATAACTGGACATGATTTTCATGGCCATAGGTGTGGAATATTAATCTAGCAGCCATATATAGGATTCATCCACACTTTCTTATTTGGACCCTGAGGTAACCAGTAGCCTGGATTTCACAACAGCTGGTTAATCAAGGTTCTAGCCTTTGGTCTTGGAACAGAGTAAAGCTAATTCAAAATGAAAGAAAGATTGACTATCACCTCCCCTCAATGACTCCAGGAGAGGAATAAAGTAAAACCTAAAAACCAGAGCCATTTTATCGTAGGCTTTTTCTCTGTAATATGTAAACTCTTGACCAAGGGATGACCTAGGTGATACTTCCCTCCAAAAGCTGTCTTACTCCTTTTATATAAGATGCTGTGATGATGGTTTCTCTTTATTTGTTCTTACACCTGAAAACAGTTTCAGAGTGGATAAGTTATTGCAAATTGCTATAAAAGAGGAGATAACCTATGGTTATAAACTAATATAATTATCTTCTTTTCCTCAGGTGGCTCATCAGCTGTGAGTTTAAACTCTAACCAGGCTTTGGCAAACCCAGTTTCAACACATACCATTTTGACTTCGAATTCCAGCCTCATGTCTACTTCGCATGGGACGAGAATGCCATCGTTACCCACAGCAGTTCAGAATATGGGGATGTATGGAAATCTGCCTTGCAGTCAACCTGGCACATACAGCGTCACTTCAGGAGTGAATCAGCTGACCCAGCAGAGAAACCCAAACCAACTGATAGCAAATCAAACCACCCCTCTGATGCCACGGCCACCTACCTTAGGGGCAAGTAATAATAATAATAACGTGGCCACTTTTGGAGCTGGACCTGTTAGCAGTTCGCAGCAGGTAAGACCAAATTTAACCCACAGCATGGCAAGCATGCCAGCGCAGAGAACGTCGAATGTAATGATCACATCCAGCACAACAGCACCAAACTGGGCCTCTCAAGAAGCAACAGCCAAACAACAGGAAGCCCTGAAGTCCACAGCGGTCCGCTTCCCCACAGGTGCACCTGCAGCCTATACTCCAAACCAGTCCCTACAACAGGCAGTGGGCAGCCAGCAGTTTTCTCAGAGGCCAGTGGCTCCTCCTAACCAGCTCACACCAGCAGTGCAGATGAGACCCATGAACCAAATGAGCCAAACATTAAATGGACAGACCATGGGTCCACTCAGAAGTCTGAACCTCAGACCCAGTCAGCTCAGCACACAAATTTTGCCTAATTTGAACCAGTCAGGAACAGGGTTGAGTCAGTCGAGGACAGGCCTGAGCCAGCCGCCATCCCTCACCCCGGGCAGTTTCCCTTCACCCAACCAAAGTTCCAGGGCTTTTCAAGGAACTGACCATGGCAGTGACTTAGCTTTTGACTTTCTCAACCAACAGACCGATAACATGGGCCCTGCCCTGAACAGCGATGCTGATTTCATTGATTCTTTATTGAAGACAGAGCCTGGTAATGACGACTGGATGAAAGACATCAATCTTGATGAGATCTTGGGGAACAACTCTTAAAGGAGAAGAGGGAGACAATTAATAAACTCCACGCACTAAAAGGCAGTATTTCACAAGGACTCTGTAAAGGCCAAACTCTTGACTTTTAGTTGGACTACGTGAAGATACCTTGGCTTACACGTGGAAGCAGAAAGTTAACTGCAGTGCTTGGTTCAAATGTTTGTTTTAAGTCTCAAACCTGAAAGTAAAATCTTGGGATCACCTTTCCCTATCTAAACTCCAGGACACAGTATCCAGTTTTCCCAAACAGAACTGTGATGTTGATGTGTAATTAGTTGTGTAAAATAGGCTTCCCAAGCTCCTTTCCTCCCTGAAAGAAAAGTAATAGAGCTTGTCGCTTGCTAAATCCCATGTCATATGGAGGTTCTAGTTCCCAGCAACAAATTCCTTCATTTGCTCTAATAGATAATAAGTGTGGTTTAATCTTCACACTCCTGTCTTTTCATTTAGTTTTCCTAAAACGTCCAGGGTAGATTAAAATGTTATAGGTTTGTTTGGAGTAACCAAACAGTGCCCCAAGTAGAGCAAAGCCAGAGAAACTAGAGAACATCCAATGGATTATAGAGTTTCTTCCCCAGATTCACCTCTCGCTTGGTCAGTTTTCCCACATACGCCATACTTCCGCAACATGCCATGTCTAGTGATGAAACAAGATTGCAGAGCTCTCCAACTTTATTTGGGCTTCCACAATCAATTCCTGAATCCATTTCCAAGTCTTAGATAAAAATCACAACTTGTCCTAATCATACTGAAATATTGGTGCATATATGTCTGCATCAGATTTCACTATTTCAAAAAGAAAACATCCCATGGGACATGGCTACAAAGGAGATTTATCTAGCCACAAATAACCTGGGGTGTTGCTTCTTGTGATCATGCCTGCTGGTTAGTTCCCATGCCGAGTGAAATTGAGCCTTGTCTTCCCTGCTTATTTTGATGACCAGAGACTGACTTGTAAGAAAACAGAGATAAGAAGGTATCTTGTTTTGATTGGAGATAAGAAACAGAAGATCAGGACAAGAAATGGTGGGTATGGTTGGGTACAAATCTATTTCACAGGGTTTGAAGGAAAGCATAATTGAGAGAGAAAACAATCTGTCCTGATTTGGGCATATTTTGGGTGAACAGCTAAAAAGAATGTGATCTGTTCCAGTAGCAATGTATTCATTCTTGGCTCCCTGATATGATATATCTTCACCACATGCTAGACGGACCCTGCATTATCCAGGTTTTCTCCCTCAGGGCTGAGCACTGTATCAAAGAAGGAGTTTTTGTTGAGTCATCTCACCTCAGCGCCCACACACAGATCAGCTATAAAATGGGGAGGACATGTGCTGATTTGGAATGGATGCAAAATATCACTATCATTTTCCTCGTTACAGAAGAACATAGGTTATCTTCAACCTTTTTAGTTATATGCCCACATACTCAATTATCAGATGTAATTTAACTGGACTTGTTTAATAAATAAGTCTTTCGATACCTGTTCTAAAAAAGATCATATTTTGAAAGTTCTGCAAAGCCCTCTCTCAATCTTTAAAATGTCTAGAAGAACACTCTTTCTTTTACACAATACCAACGTCACTGGCCCAGAATCTTTTCTGTGCTAGGTTGTAAATATGAATAAATGACTTGTTTTGTAAACTTTTGTAAAGAATATTTTGGTAGAAATACTTAAAACATATTCTTTGGGTTATATTTATACATATGTGAAATAAATATACTATCAAAAGGTTATATTTTATACAAAAAGTAAATTGTTACCTTTTGTATGCTAATATACAAAGTTTTGTATAATATGATGGTTTATTTTTAGCTCTACACTTAAACCGTAAGAGGTCAAGTGGGAACTTTTGAAAACTATCAAGAGGCTTGTTAGACAAATTTATATTCTGAAACCTCAAGAAGAAAGCATTCCAGGTTTCAATTTTTTCTTTTTTTTCTGCTCCCAAATTATTTTTTAAACCCTTAGTTCTTTTGTCTTATTTGATCCTACTGCTGTGCACATTGTATTGGTTCTTGTTGCATGTGGTCTACTGTGTGTTTTCCCATTTTATAAAACAGTGTTTCTCCATGCAAAAAAGGAAAAAAAATATGTACATATAAACACTTTTATTTTATGACTCCTCCATGTTACTGTATATATTTGCCAGTACTTCCCAGTTACACTCCTGTGATTCAGCTTATTTTTACCCTAACATAAATAGTATGTTTTGTAGTAGCTATCAAATTTAAGAGATAAAGCAATCAGAATGTTTGGATTTTCTTCTATCTTAATGTGAATTTCATAATTAATGTCTATTTATTCAGCTACTCATTAAAATACAGGATTCTTTGGAAAAAAATGGTGTAGTCTATAGTTTCTGTTTTTTGGCAGCCTATGACCAAAGATGACGTAATTTCCCTGAAAGCTGAGATGATGACAATTTGATAGACAGAATATAGCCAAACTTGAAGATTTACAATGTAAAAGCTATTAGAATCCAATCTCCCGTTTATAAAGATACCGGACTACTTAATTCTTGGCACTGTTTATCATTCTAACATTAAACAGGAGGTAGAAGTCATTTTTTTTTTTAATTCAAAGACTAGTAAGCAGTTTAGGCAAATAATTCATTCTTGGCTTTGTGTTAAGCCCAATGAAGATAAATAACCTTGCTCTGAGTGAATGCACTAATATTACTTGCATTTCTGTAACTGTACCCATAACTGTAAAGATTTCAACTTGTAAAACAAGTATTTTGTATTGTGTGTAATTTCATGTGTTAAAAAATAGTTTTAAAAAATTCGGAAGTGGTTCTCTTGTATGAAATCATACTTTCAGTCACCAACGATATTGTTGCTATATCACAGAAAGTTCTGAGAACTATTAATAGCGATGGGCAGATTTAGTCTCTGGGAAGCTTCTAGTGAAATGCTGTCTTGTCTCCTTTCAGTGCTCTTTAGTTCACTTAGAAGGTTTGTTTTAAAATCCTATATGCACAGCACCAATGAATACCAAAGAAACACATTCTCAGGCATGGTGGGCCTTTGCCTGGGCACCTGTTCAGGCCAATTCTGAGTGAACACAAGGCCAGGTAAACACAGCTTCACTGAGCATATTTACACATTCCTTCTTGAGGGTCAAAGAGGTTAAGAAAAAGGTGGGAGGAGGCAATGGGAACCTTTCTCACCAATGTTCTTGCTCCCCTGTTGAAGTATGTTGCTGGGATTCCATTGTCCCTTCCCCCCTGCCAGAAAGATGTGTGGCATTATCCTCTTTATTCGTGTTATTAATGGAGCAATAATAAAATTGACATTCTATGTGGTCCCTGTCCAATGACTCTGGGAAGTTCGATAGTAAACAAAATCAACATCAATAAAAATAAAGAAAATACACACGAATTAAGAGAAAGAATTGTGTAATTCTAAAATTGCCTATGAATCCTGGGTTGCACCCATGGAAGCAGACTTGAGAGAAGAGATGAGAGAGTAAAAGCAAGTACGAATAAACCAGGAGCTTTGCTTCTTCCCATGCTGTGGTTGCCAAAGGCAGTTCAAATTCTTAAACATTTTATCTATTTCCATTTGGTATCTCTGTAACTATTGTTTCCTCACCCAGAAATGAGAGCACAGGGCTGAAATAGTTCTATATTCCTTTTCAACTATAAAATTCTGATGGTTGTTTTTTTTTCAAAGCTAAATGGAAAATTAACCACAAAAAACCCAAATACCATTATTATTTTTAAACTAAAGAACTCACTGTTCAACCTTTTGAAAATCTTCAGGTTATCAGTCAACTTTACCGAAAAAGCAGCCACCTCCTTTAAAATTAAATCACATGAGGGGCACCTGGGTGGCTCAGTCGTTAAGCGTCTGCCTTCGGCTCAGGTCATGATCCCAGGTCCTGGGATAGAGCCCCGCATCAGGCTCCCTGCTCCGGGGGAGGCCTGCTTCTCCCTCTGCCACTCCCCCTGCTGTGTTCCCTCTCTCGCTGTGTCTCTGTCAAATAAATAAACAAAATCTTAAAATCAATCAATCACATAAAAAGAGCGCTCCTCATAGTGAGCCAGAACTAGACCGTTCACAAACAGGCGACGTCTATGATTAGCCCACTGACTAAATACAAATCAAGTCCTAAAGATTGAAAGCTGGAATATAATATTAAAAGGTCATTTTCCTGTGAGATCATAGGATTTCATAAAGAAAATATTTGCCTACTAGGAAGGAGGAAACCAATACTTTGAGTAGTGTCCGCCATGGGTATATATTAGGGTTTGTGAGTTTAAATGATAGTAGTATCTTTTAAGTATACTTCCTACGTTGCTATAATAAAGTACAGGTAGTGGCCTAGGATCAACTTCATTGGCAGCTTTAACATAACTAAAACATTGTATCATGGGAGTTAACAAAACACACTGACCTTAGATTTTTTAAAAAACAAATGCTGTAGTCACCTCCTTCCATGCAGTAATAAGAGGGTTGGGGCGCCTGGCTGGCTCAGTCAGGGGAGCATGAGACTTGATCTTAGGGTTGTGAGTTCAAGCCCTGTGTTGACTGTAGAGGTGGCTTAAAAATAAAATCTTAAAAAAAAAAAAAGAGGGCTTTTGTTTATTTACATAAATAGCATTTAAGTTCTCTTTTAACCAAATTTAAGTCATCTTTAGCTCCAGGATATGCATGAGCATACAGACACTTTTTTATAATATGTAGGGCTCTTTCAGCAGATGGGAGGGAAAGAAGAAGGAAAAGAGAAGGAAGGAAAAAAAACATCTCAAATAGGCTTAGGAAAAGGAATTCACTGGTTGACACAACTGAAAAGTTTACAAGGTTTAGGCACAGCCAAATCCCTCAGGTAAACCATGTCATCGATAATTGGTTCTTTTCTGTTTCTCACCTTTGCTTCCCTGTGCCTTGACTCCATTCTCAGGCAGGCCCGGCTCTCATAGTGGCAAAACTGTTGCTAAAAGCTCCAGGCTTACATCCTCACAACTCCAAGTCCAGCATAAACAATAATGAATGCTTTCCTTTCAAAAAATCAAGCTTTGCATCACAACAAGCTTCGATTTGGCCAAGAAGAGTCGGTGTTTTAATTGGTCAGGCTTGAGTCAAATGCCTATCCCTGGAGGGGATTAATACCACCAAACCATATGAACTAAGAGAGGGAAAGAGGTGATTTCCCCAAGGAAAATGAGGTTGCTATTGTCAGGGGGAAAAAAAAGGTAGAAAGAAGGAAAAGAGAGAGAGAGATGTAAAATAAAACCACAAATGTCTACTGTCCCTTTCTGGCTGTTTTATTTCCACACACACTTTTTTTCCCATATTTTCAATTTCAAAATGTCACTAACCCAAATACTCACCTCCTCCCCATAAGGAGGCAATCCAAATGTCACCACATCTTATTCTGTCGCACAGCAATCTTAAGTCCAAAAGATGCTTATCTATTCCCAACGTATCCAAGTGGAGAGTGGAAACGGTAATAATAACTT